GCCTTTGAAAGTTTAATGGTGGAGGAAGGTTTTGTTCATGCTGTAGGATGGAGAAGAACGTTGAAGATTGAAGCAAAGACCTCTGTAGTTGAGGAATTGGTGGTGAGAGGATCTCCAACTTTGAAGTTTAGGGAATTGAGAATGGCAAGATAAAAAACAGTTTTGCTGGTAGGGGAGTCAATTTCGTGGTTTAAAGGTTTTCTTGATGGTGCAATCTTTTCCAAAAGAAATCTGGATTGGAAAGGATCAACGGAAACAGAAGGAAGGAGATATTTTGCTGAAAGAAGAAGAAATGTGAAAGGCGGGTTTTTAACCTTGTCTGAGTTCTTTGGCCAGGGCTCGAAGCAGATAGCATGCATCCTTGAAGGGAGGAAAGCAGAGGGATGGTTGTACCTGTTGAGATTGTTTCAACAGTTCATATTTTTGTTGATGAGAAACAAAGTAAGTTTCTAACATATTTATAAAAAAAAAAGTAGGTTTGTAACAGCTGAAGGTCAGCAGAGAAGTGTTGTTCAAGGAAAACACAAGGTGGAGCTGGAAAAGGGGGAGAAGCCGAAAAATATTTTGATTAGCTTAATATGGTCAGTTATGCTGGAATGTCAAAACTGTCCATCATCCAGAGCAAAGGTGAGTTTGAGCAATGGTTGGTGTTGATGGACAAGAAAGAGGTGCTGGATTGAGCAAAGTAGGTGTAGAAATAAGTAGAAAATTAAAGCCAAAAGGAGCGATAATGCCAACTCCCTTTGACAAAGGAAAAGCCCTCTTGGATTTGCTTGATGACTCACTAGAGATTAATGCAGTAGCTGTAGAAACTGAAGAAGGGAAGATGATGATCTCGAAGTGGTTCCCTTTGGCGAATGCTAAATCCATTGCAACAGGAGTAGTGATAAGAATTTTAGGGCAACCATTTCATCTCTGGTCATAGTATGCTTTGTGCCTAATAGTAAACTTATGTAGAGGGGTTTTTGTGGGTTTGTTCTTGGGGGATTTGTACTCAGCGGTCATTAAAGTTGTTGGGGCAAGGTAAGAATACATCCCAAGGAGAAAAAAGTTGAATCAGGTGGACTGGTGTACAGTGCTGGCTTGTCAGCTCTATTGATGCTGAGCTTTGGAAGGAGGGGCATAAGGACTAAGGAAGAAGACAATGATGATGAAGCTCGGGTTCTACGTAACACTATAGGAATCCACAATGACCAGCAGACTATGAAGGGAATGCAGCTCCACATGATTCTGGCTTTCTTGCTTCCTCTAATTTTTGACCACCTAGAGAAAATTTCTGCAGGAGATGATGGCTGAAAACACTCATTCCAAAAAGGAAAGAATAGAATTTCTAGAAGATATTTGCCACTTTGCAGGAAAAAAACATATGGAAAACTGTCTCCTCGTCCATTTTACACAAGTAGCAGAAGCTTGGAAGGATGAATCCTCTTCTCTTCAAGTGATCTGTGGTCAGGATGCTATCAAGAGCTACAAGCCAAGCAAATGTCTCCACTCTTGGAGGCACTGGATTCCCCCCACACCTTTTACATTATCCAAAGCCTGGTTGTCCCTGACCAATGCCAAATAAAAGGACTTCACCGAGAACCTTCCATCCTTACATTCTTTCCACCAAAGACCACCCTCTAAAGTAGAAGAGACATTGATTGTTCTAATTTACTTAGTAACTGAATGCACTCATCCACTTCTTGATCATGCAGGGGCCTTTTGAATTTCTGGCTCCAAACCAGTTGCTCCCCCCCACCATCTTGTAGCACTGATCAATGGTAATCTGATGCTCAGTCAGCCTACACCTTGGACAGATTTCACAAAGTTTCCCAATTACAGCCCATTCATCCTCCCAAAGAAGGCTCTCCATGATTGAAACGAAGTGAAGATTTCAAGTTTGACAAAAGACAATGACAATGGAGATTTCAGCAATGAGATGGAGAGTTGAGACCATGATTGAAACGAAGAATCTGGTGTTAGAAGAAGGAAGAAGCAAAGACCATTCAGTTCTGAAATTAAGAGAAAAGGGAAGAGCAACTATTTTCTTAACAGGGGAAGCTACATAATGTTTGAAAGGGTTCATCAATGGAGTAATTTTCTTAGTGAAGAAAAATGGTTGGATGAGTTCGTTGGAACTTCCAAGAAGAAATTATTAGGTGGTTCTGAAATACAACTACAAGGGTTGGTTTGTGGCTGTGAGTGAGTTTCTTGGTAACAATAGAAAACAATTGGTTTGTCTCCCAAAAGGAAAACAAGGGTCGGGTTGGAGTAGGTGTAAATCGGGCCGTGCTGCCCACGGCCTGGCACAATCCAACACGATTTTGAGCTGGCCCGGCCCAACGGTCCATGTGCCGTGTTGGACTTGGGGTTTCAGGTCGGCAGGCCGGGCCGACACGACTCGCACTGTCGTGCCGTGCCACCCATGGCCTGTGGGCTGGCCCGACCCGGCCCATATATATTATATATATAATATTTATATATTTTATATATTTATATATAATATTATATAAATTATAATTATATAATAATATATTAATAAAATAAACAATTGTTTTCAATTTTATTATACTATTTTACTTAATTATTGTATATAAATTTTATACATCAAGATTCATATAAAATTAAAATTTTAAGTTTTTTTTTTCAATTTTTTAAATAAATAGATTTAGCCTGGTCCATGGCTTGACATGGGCTTGTGTGGGCTCGGACCAACCCCAAAATATCCAGGGGAAGGAGGCCTGGCCCGGCCTGCACTTTGCACAGGCCGCACGCGGGCTGTGCCGTGCTGGCCCAACACGACTCATTTTACAACTCTAGGTTGGAGTTTGTTCGCTTAGAAGCTGCAAGAATATATGACGATGAAGGTTGATAGTTTAACCAAAGGAGAAGTCTATCAAAGCAATCAAAATAAAGAGGTAGAACGAGAAGTGATTGTAATTCGTAAGTAGCGTCTATAAAGTGCAAAAAATGTTGTTAGAAGGAAACAGAGAAGAATGGTTTTGGAAGTAGGTAGGGAGATTACAGACTAGGGAATCATACTGGATGAGCTGAAAAAGAAACTTCAAGTGGATGCAGGAGTTATGATATTCCCTTTTGACAAAAGACGAACAATATTGTATGTCGGAGAAAGAACAATGGATTTTGACAGGTTAGAAACTGAGTTGGGAGTGATTTTGGTGCAGAACTAGACATCCTCTTGTAACAACAAGGTGTTTCATAATGGAGTCTTTGCCATCAGATTGTTTGGACTTCTTTTCAATCTATGGGAGAATTCTATGCTGGAGAAGGTAGTGACAACGATAGGAGGGATGTTTATATCTTGTAATACCTCAAATCTAAGCTCTGCAATGGTGGAAATCGCTGGAGTGAAGTTGGAAGAAGTACCTCGATTGCTTGATGTCTTTTAGGATGGAGTTTGGATGAAGGTTTTGATTGCATTGGAACACAAAGCATTGCTGTGGGGGGAAATGCGAGAGGTTGAAGATGATACTGATGAGGCAGGGCGTGAGCCAAAGTTTGGAAGAGAGATGCTTGACTGACATGTTGGCTAATCAAGACCCTACAAAAAATTACAATCAAGTTTTGTGCTAATTATTTGAATACTGGGTTTGCCATTAGTTCCCAAATGCTTGCCATAGGGGTGTAACCAAGGTTCAAAATATTGATACCCCCCAATATGGCGCAAAGGGTGTATCAGTACTTTGAACCTTGTAGCCACCTTTTTCTTTTATTTTTTTTTTCAGAAACATGTTAGGGGGTAGGTCTTAGGCTTGTCTACTCCCTGAAATAGGTCAAACCCCAAAACATCCCTATTTTGCATATCAATGACCCTTCGATACGATACGTATTGGCTGATATGGGCTGGTATGTGATGAAATTTTGAACCTTGGGTGTAACTAGGGCAGGCCTAACCCGAGCTTTGACCAACCCAACCTGTAACTAGGGCTGGGCCTAGGCCCAAAACCCTGTTTTTTTTTGTCATTTTTAGGTTGGGCTGGGCCCAGGCTTAGCCCTTCAATAGTCAGACCTGGCCCAACTATAGTTAGATAGGTTTTGGGCCATTTTTAATATATTGGGCCCAATAGGGCCACTTGGGCCCCATTGATCATTCTAATCCCGACTTAGGCTAGAGCCCAATTTGAGTGTATCAAGTTTTACTTTGGGCTGGCCCTGGGTTGGGCAGATCGGGCTTAATATTAGGATATGGCTCAGGCCTTAGGCCCATGTATTAGTGTTGGGCTTAGGTTGACTTTAAACCTGGCCTAGCCTGCCCAAGTTGCACCCCTAGCTTGCCAGAAGTACCCTTTTCTTGGTTGGATGCTATGAAGAATGGATCAAGAACAAGCTATGAATCAAACTCTAGGGTTGACTATAGATAAAGCACTGATTGTGGCCCCTTCATTAGGTTTATACTAATGCACATGAATTAAAACTCTTGATTAGCTTATTGACTGAAACACTTATAGTAATAAAGTGTGTACGTAACAAGTTTCAAGATAATAAAAAATATTTTTATATAGAAACCTTGGGGTCTTGCATGCTTTCAATAATCATAGGACGTAACAGAAAGTAAAAAGCAGTGATTCAAAAGGTGCACCTTGCAGGCAAGGTGCACTTTATGGCCTGCATCTTGCCTCCAAGAAATATTTTAAAAATATTGTTAATCATTCTTCCTAATACAAGACATATTTTGACAGATAAGGAACTATAACTAAATTATAAAACCAACTTTTTAAGTACATATTTGAGAATTTAATCCTGGCATAGACTTGTTTGGGCACGCTTCAAGGGGCTTGGTACAAAACGGCTTATAGAGTTAGAGTAATGTGATTGGTAGAGAAATAAAGGGATTGAGGATTGAATGTTTCACATGCTTGAACCAATTATAAAACCATTTTTTTCCTGTCACCCTATCTAGATGTTTGTATTTGCTACAGCATACATTTCTAGTAAATTTGTTCTTCAGATTCATCTCTAATTATGTTAAGTGGTTGTTGCACACATTGGTGTTGCAGAAATCAATCAATGAGGCTGCCACAAATTGGGGCCTCAAGTGTCTACGTTATGAGATAAGTAAGACAAAGTCTTATCTTCCTTTATTTAGTGGATGTTTTGTCCTAGCAGCTTGTACATATTTATGGTCATATTCTTTCTAGGGGATATATCTCCTCCTCCTGGAGTGAGAGCAGCTATGGAGATGCAAGCAGAAGCAGAACGTAGAAAGCGAGCTCAAGTTCTTGAGTCAGAAGGTGTTCTTTTTGTCCCTAATAACTTTTTCTTTTGAAGTGAAAGTACTTGTTCTTTTACATTTACCTATTGTTTGAACTCTTTTCTTCTTTTGTTTTATTTTGATTTATAAAGTTCTTCTGATTTGGTTAATGATTTAAAAAATGATGGGGTAGTGGCTTGCGTATTATGCCTTATGTCCAAGCCGATATTTAGGTGAAGCCCCTCATTTCTCAATTTTCTAACGTTTCTGATGATGGAGATCTCATTTTCGAATTGATAGGAGAAAGGCAGGCAAACATTAACATTGCAGATGGGAAAAAAAGCTCAGTGATCTTAGAGTCAGAAGCTGCAATGATGGATCAAGTGAATAGAGCAAAAGGTAACTTAGTCAACTTTTATCTATCTTTTTAACCTTGCATATATGTAGGTTTTGTTTTCATGTAAAGTGAGCTTAAGTCCAAATGGGCAGTAAATACCATGTATTCATGTTTTAGAGAAGTTCTATAGTTGGCCAGATGATGATGTTTACTATTTTTTAGTCAACCCAATTGTTGGGGAAAGGCTTTGGACAATGATAGTGGTGAAAGCAGTAATGAGATATCAAACTTGTTGTGTTTTGGTTCTTTGACAACTCTTGTTCAAACCATCAGGAGAAGCAGAAGCCATCCTTGCTAGAGCACAAGCAACTGCAAAAGGGATCTTTTTGCTATCTGAAGCCATCAAAACAAGTGGAGGTGTTGAGGTTAGATTGTTTTCCTTCTCTTTCTTAAAGGTCTAGCAATTTAGTCTGTCTTATGTGACAAAGATCTCTCTCTCTTGGATGCTATTCACTTGTTCTGTGGGATTATTTTAGAAAGTTCTTTTGTCTAGACTATAAAAGAACTAGCTGCATCATAATTTATTATGAAATCTTTAGCCCAACTACTTATAGATGGCTATATGAAATCATTTTAGGAGTCATGAAAAGTATTTTTTGGGGAGTAAAATAAAAGAAGATTTTATTAAAAAGGAGAACAAAGTACTATGAAGATTTACACTGCATTTGGCTTGGAGCCTAGTAATTTTTATTCCTTTACAGTTTGATATCTGATTTGTATTTGGTTTGTCAACTTGACAACCATCACTTTGAGATGTACTGCCTTTTTCGGTTTAATGAAATTTCCTTTTTTATCCTTCAAAAGAAAAAGGATAGGAGCCTAGGACCCTTCAAAATTTAACAAAAGCTCAACTGAGCCCACCCAAGTTGCACCCCTAATGTGCACTCAAATCAAATATTTTTTGATTATATTTTTTTTGATGAATAATATTTTTTGATTATATTATTCACTAAAAGGCACAATAATGTGTCGTTCATTTCAGCCACTTCAGCTAATGTATTTTCTTCAATTTCTACTTTTTTGGTTATAGATATTAATTTTTTATTATTTTCTGTATTTTTGGCATTATGTGAAATATATATTTGATTTTTTATAATTTTATGTATTTTTCTACGATTTATTATTTTTGGTTGAAGTATGTACTTTTTGATTTTTTTATCATTTTATGTGTTTTATACAATTTCTGTTTTTTTTATCTTTTTTTGTTTTTCAACAATTTCTGAATTGAAATATATAATTATTTTGAATTTTTATTGATTTATGCATTTTATGCAATTTCTATATATATAAATAATTTTATCATTTTCCTTGTTTTTTCTGCAGTTTTTATCAATTTGTGTTTTTCTACAATCTTGCGTTTTTATTATTTTTTGTGTTTTTCTTAATATTTGTATTTTTGGTTGGTTAAAATATTTGTATCTTAATATTTGCATTGAGTTATTCATAAAAAAATATTTGAATTGAGTTAGCTGGTCATAAGGGTGGGTCAGTGTCAAGGTGGGTTGTGACCCACTAACACCCAATAAATATGGGTGGCAATTGGGTCAACGGGTCAATATGGGTGGGTTGGTATTCAACCCGCACCCAACCCAACCCACCCATTAGCCACCCTATGTGGAGCTGTTTGTACCAAATGGAAAAAGACCAAGAGATGCACTCGGCAGCCTTACCAAACACAACCTAAGGTGTCCAGACCTAACAAACAACATTAGAAATGACCACGAAACGTCTATTGTCTACAAAAACAAAAATACATGAAAATTTTAGATATTCTATGTCTGCCCACTTGGCTCCTGCATTAGTTCATATTTCATAGGCTTTCATATGCAACATAGGTTGTCACAAGTTGGGTTTCATAGAGGTTCATAGATTGCACTGCATTCAGTTGCAAGTCCATTGATATGACATGGGTATGTTAACTGACCAATACAGTCACTACAAAAGTGCTGACGAAAACAATATGCAGAACTATTGTAGTCAGAGGACACACCCATTCTGGCAACACATTAGCAATCAGGTCACAGCTCACAATTTATGGATTAATAAAACAATGGTGGCCTCAGCCTAAATTCACTCTGTTATTCATAAAAAAAAAAAAAATCATCCAATTCCTAACCAATTTCAGAATTCAGAATTTTTGGGTGATAGGGATATTGATATTTTTTGAGTTTTTAAAATTTGTTTTCTAGTTTTTAGGTGTCTCAGGAATAGTGTTTTAAGTTTTCTAGAAATTTACTGTCATTTTGAAATTATTATTTATGGTAACTCTTAGGCTTACTATATATAGTATTTCATATATTTCTATTTATAGTATAATCATGATTTACTATTATTGATAATTTCCAGTATCTTTATGTTAAGTTAGTTTTGGTAGGATAGGTGGAGTCTGTAAAGGGCATCCTACATGGTGGGTCTATAAATAGAACCATTGTAATTGTGATGAAATAAAGTTGGTTTAGTGAACTCTCACCTATTTCTTCTCCTATCTCTTTGGTGCAGCAAGAGTTGCTCTTTCTTTGGTAGAGATGGGATCTCCTGAAAGGTGCGAACACTCTGAGAGCATGGGCATCCATCCGCACATTGGAAACATCTCCCCATGAATTTAATATACATGTATGGGTGATATTCCTAATGTGTGGCTGGATGCCATGCTCTTCGAGTTTTTTCTTTTAGGATATTTGGGCTTTCTTTGGTGGGTAGTAAACTGTGTAGTTGCTTCTCCATCCCTGTTTTTCATCCTTTATCACCCAAAGTCCTTTCTTTACCCCACAAAGTCCAAAACCAGAGCTGAAAGTTTAGGATCCCCTATCCTGTTCTACCTCATACTGATGTTTGATGGTGTTGTGATGGGGTTTCCACTAGGGGTGATCATTTTCAGCCCAGCCTGGCTCAGAAATTTTGGGCCTAGATTTTGTGTTCAGGCCCAGATCAAATCTGGGCCCACAAATTTCCAGGCTGAGCCTGGCCCAACATTTCAGGCCCAGCCCAGCATGCAATCTATATAATATATTTAATAATGTGTACATATAATATGTTTATGTTATAAAATATTATATTATCTAGTATATACAATAATATATTTAATGTTATATCTATATAATATATATTTTATATGCTAATATACAAATACATTTTATTTATATTTTAAATATTTTATATAAAAATTTTAATTTATATTATACATATTCAGGAGTTGACACATGTATAGATCACATATGAGAAATCTCCTCCTAGGCAAGGCCCAAGGTTCAAAATATCAATATGTATTGGGCCGTATCGGCCAATACGTATCGTATCGGTGGTGGACACGTGGAGGTAAGAGATTGGGTTGTGAAAAGGAGTTGGAGGAAACCAAGAAAGCTTTTAATTTTTCGGCCGGGGAATACCAAGCGACAAGGCTGCCCATTAAGGAAGCTAATTCAAATGGTTTTTAATTAAACAAAGATAAGGCGGGCCACTTTTCTTTCGCTGACGTGGTGAAGAATTTAAGTGGACCAAACCGCCAAAAGGCCTAGTCTGAACCGACTGAATCTCTGGGCGGATCGGCTACTAAACCGGGGTGCAACTTAAGTGACCCACGTGATAACTTAAAACATCACGTAGGTCGGGGCAAAAGGAAAGAAAAATGGCCGATTGTAGACAGACCATATGGTCTATCTTCTTCCATAGTCGTGCGATCTCAAGGGAAAAAGATGCAGCGGCAGAGAGAAAGTGAGCAAGGTGACCTACGGTGGGTGCTGCGCCGAAATCATGAGGACGTTAGCTCACTGCAATGTTCCTCAGAGAAACCGAACCCAAGGTATGTAAGAGAGAGAACCAAAGAAAGGGAGGAGGTGGACAAAGGATGGGTGGACTGTGCAATAAACGATGAAGAATCAAAAGACAGTTCAGGTGAAGATACTAGCATTGGAAGCGTGAACGATGTTGATGAGTGCGATGAAGGTGATTTGGGTCTGCTGAACATTGCAAGTATATTCCAGGGGGACATATAGGAGAAACGGAGATTTAATCCAGACGGCCAGAGAAGTCTAATAGATGATGGCAGAAGACCTGGGTCTGTTGAAGTAAATGAGGATGAAGATGATAATCGGAATAACACTTCCCCAACACTTCTAGTTGTGCAAAGCGCAAATAAGGGGTAAATCGGGAGAACCTAAGGCTGAGCAGGAACGCACCAGTAAGGGATAAACAAAGGGTAGAGAGGACAGATTACCATGTTGCCCAAAGGACTGAAATGCTTACCAACCAACTCAGGGAGACAGATATTTACCAACCGTCTGAACAAGATAGGGAGGCTGGGAACAACTTCTCGTGTGATCTTCCATCTTTCCAGTCAAACCCAGGTAACCAAGTGAATTCGGTTTGTGATACTAATGTGTTTTTTGTGTCCTATGCTCTAGATTCCGTTCCTGTTCCAAGTCCTGCAGCCCTTGCATGTGCAACCAACCAAGGTGGTGGATCTTCAATGTTTAGGGAGATGGGATTGAAGGATTGTGGGGAGGTAAGGGAAGGAAGGTATAGGATGGAGGTGGTGTGGGAAATTATTGAGAAAATGTTTAGTGAAGTTGAACAAAATATGTTGTGGAGGAAGGATATAGAGGAGAGAAGAGGGGAGGGATTAGTTGGAAGGGGAGAAGAGGTGGAGAGAAATGGAGGGGAGTATTTAGAGAGGACAGGGGTGGAGGGATCTAATGGAGAGGACTTGATAGCAGAATTTATGGGGAAGTTGGGATGTAGAATGGAGGACTTGAATGTTTTAGTAGATATCTGCTGAATTAAAAAATATGAAAGAAAGTAGTTTCTTGAAGAGAGAAGGAGAAGAAGAGAAGAAGAGAAGTTGAAAGAAAAGAGAGTAATTATTTGGCCGTCCCCCTTCACTTATTATTTATACTAAAATAATAGAACAGTACGAAGACAACTATGCCCTTATAGGGCGGCAAAACATAAAACAACATATATATGACTCAAAAAACATAATAAAATTTGGATTCACATAACTATTGTGGTCCCCACCTCCTATCTAACAACTAACATAAAACATCTACTAAAAAAAAAAACATCATAAAACTAATTAATCTTCAACACTCCCCCTCAAGTTGGGAGTAAATGTCACACATTCCCAACTTGTGTAGATCATGTTCAAGCTTGTTCGTTGCCACCCCTTTAGTGAGAACATCAGCCAGCTGCAACTCTGAAGAGACATGAGGCAAACAAACTTCTCCGATTGTTACCCTTTCTCTTATAAAGTGAACTTCAGTGTGTTTTGTTCTATCATGCTGAATTGAATTGTGGGCAATATTGATTGTAGCCTGATTGTCACAGTATAACATCATAGGTTCCTCTGCTTTCACCCCAATCTCACTCA